TCGTTGGTACTTGCTGGCTTGTGTAGCCACTAGGTAACAAAAGCTCAACACTTCGCCTGCATCCTGGTGCACTTCTGTTGTGTTTTGTACGTGTTTTGGAGTTTGTACATGTTTTGGAGTTTGTACATGCTTTGTCTCTAGGGGCCACCGTAAATCTACTTTTATTTATTCTCTCCACATGAAATGTAATAAATAAATCATATATTACAAAAACCAACTATTCGCAGTTCAACTTTTAGCTATTTAAATTTTCAGCTTTTTCCTTTTAAACACATTTTAAGTAAAACAACACAAAACACTGCAAACCACAACACAATTACATATAAATGAAAATATGAAAACAAAAAGAAGATGCACATTCTCTGTCATATGGGCCTGCATGAATAAACTTTGTGAATCCTTTGTGATTACTATACCTTTCTAATGGGATGTTGTTGTCCCTGGCTCTCTTTCTCTCTCTTTTCCCTCCTGCTCTGTTCCTGTGCTACTGCGAGTGTAACTACCGCTCCTCCCCCCTCTTCCCAGCACAAAGCCCAAGGCTCGCGTGCTGAGTGAAGCGGAAAAAAAGAGTGAGAGAGAGGGTGAGCGAAAGAAAAAAACTCCACGGCTGGCGATAAGGAGCCGGCTCGCGTCGTTCACTTCAAAGATCCGGCTCTAAGAGCTGTTTCGTTCGCGACCGACACATCACTATTAAAGACAAAAGGGTTACATTTTCACTGGCCTTTCTTACCATAAACTTGAATCAGCATCCATAATTTAAGACAAATGTATTATTATTACCATATTATTCAATTTGAGCACACATAAATAAAAAAAACATAAAATGTTCTTAAATACAGTGGAACCCCGACTTACGAATGCCCCATGTCACGAAAAATTCAAGTATGATACCAAATAACACAAGTAACAAAACTGAAAAGCTGGATCAGATCACTGACAATGAGCCAGTCCATTCAGATCAGTTCAGTGGTGTTCTGCATTCACTTCATCACTGCAAGTGCAAGCACTAATGTAGCTTGCAAGAAGCCAAAAGCAATAATTACTAATTAACAGTACTATATAAAGTATCCTGCTCTGCAATTTCAAAATTTCCCTCCACATAAACCACCACATAAAATCCATTAGTGAGCCAATGGTAGCAAAATGTTTGCAGGAAAAAGGCTCATTTGATTATTTTCCCATCATGCACATAATTGGAGAACCTGTCTTACATAAGTAACAGCAAAACTGTCATACCATTTTTCAATTTAGCACAGTAATGCTTTATGGAAAAATGGGCCGTCAATGAAGTAGCATGTTACTTTGGAACATATTACACTAAACACTGAGCACCAAAAATGAATCCAATAACCCCAAATTCTGAAAACTCATGAAAATATGTTTTTATTTGCTGTAGGTTAGGTTACTGCAGTTTTCTCCTTTGTGATACAAACAGGAAGTTACAGTATTTCTGCCTACAGCTTCAAAATGCAGAGACTAACAGAACACTGTTTGACTGTGAATGAGAGTTTAGAAAGATCAAAAAAATTGTAAGTCAGGATGATATGAGAAACATAAAGTGAATTTCACTACTCCCATTACTTCTACTTAGTCTGTATCTAAAAGAAAATGGTAATAAAATTAAGAGAAATTGATAAATGTGTAACATCAACAATGTCTGTCTTGTCTGGGTTACCTGTGTACAAAAGCATTAGCATTTTTTGTATGAAACAAGTATTTTTTCAAGTACTTTCTGAACATCTTATCTCGTATTCCATAAACAATTGGACTGATGATTCGAGGCAGAACATGTATTAGTATTGCGATTGTGTAGCGAATAGTCAGGACTCCTTTTGGGAACAAGGATGTCAAACCA